AAATTAATAAATTAATAATAATAAAGAAGTAGCTTCCAACCTTCATCACACCAAGCATAAGGTAAGATACTAACTTTTCACCTTCTTTTAAAATTACAAATAAAAAAACTCTTCTCCCCATAGCCTAACTTTTATCTATAAGCTAGGAGGACCTTGGATGAAGCGGATTATCTGGATCCCTTTCAGTCGGGATTCAGGCTTGTATGCAGGACGGAAACGGCATCAGTTGCGCTTTTGGATGATCTCCGGCAAGGGCAGGATGGGGGTACTGCCTCCATCCTCACTCTTCCTGACCTCTCTGCAGCTTTCAGTACCATTGACCATGGTATCCTTCTGGATCGGCTCAGAGGATTGGGAGTGGGTGGCACAGTGTTGTTCATCTCCTTCCTCCGGGGCCAATTCCAGTTGGTGGTGGTTGGGGAGGAGAGATCTTGCCCTTGGCCCCTACTATGTGGGGTCCCGCAGGGTTTGCTACTCTCTCCTCCCCTATTTAACATCTACATGAGGCCACTGGGTGAGATCATCTGTTGCCATGGGGTGACGTGTCATCAGTACATTGATGATACCCAGTTATACATCTCTGCTCCTGGTGAATTAAGTGACGCTGTGGACACCTTATCCCGGTGCCTGCAGGCTGTGAGGATCTGGATGGGGAACAACAGGCTTCAGCTGAACCCTGGCAAGACTGAGTAGCTGTGGGTTTGGAGACCTTCTGGTTCTAGGATTATGCCATCTTTGGTGCTGGATGGGGTGGCACTACCCCAGACAAACCCAGTGCACAATCTGGGGTGCCTCCTGGACACACGACTCCTGGTCAAAGAGCAGGTGGCAGTCCTGGCTAAGAGGGCCTTTGCACAGCTTCGGGTTGTGCGCCAGTTGCCCCTGTTCCTGGACCGGGAGGCTCTACTCACTGTCACTCATGCCCTGGTCACCTCCCATCTGGGCTTCTGTAATGCACTTTACATGGGGCTGGCCTTGAAGAGTATCTGGAAGCTTCAGTTGGGGTAAAATGTGGCAGTGCAGGCAGTTATGTATGCCCCTAGAAGTGTGATGGAATGGAATTATGAAGGCCAAGCTCAGGGAGATAAATATTTTCTTAGCTCGCCAGAACCACGTGGGAGGAACAAGAGG